CGTGGGCAAGTCAACGACTTTATTATTGTCTGGTGAGGTGACCGGGTGGAGGCTTTAGAGGTCGGGGTGTTCAACTGCTACCATTCAGTTCAGTTCATGTATTAGGTATAGCCCTGTGAGCCATTCGGCTCTTGAATCGGGTCCAACCGCAACAAACAAAAACACGAACAAGAAAACATCTTAAAGTGACAACGCGCAACAGAAAAATCCAGGAAAATACAGCAAAAGTCTTCCAGAAAAAGCACCGTATATCAATGTTGTGTGCAAACATCCCAGTGGACAGATCCTGGGTTCAAATCTGGGGAGACACCTTGCATTACCCATAATAAAGGTTTGTTAGGTTCAAATCGCGTAAATATAAATGTCTTTAAATCCTCCCCGCCAACACCCGGCACAGCCAATTAGTAAGGTGTGTCACGTAAACAAAACATGTCAATTGGTTACTAGTTAAGCACACCGGTGTGTTGGAGAGTAAACCCACAACCATTACAATTCCAGTACGACGTTTCAGTGGTGATGACAACAACCAGCTTCATCAGGCGATAGCCAGAATTGTGGATAATTCCTCCTGTTTCGTTCTTAAATAGAGGGGGTAAAGGTGATGTCATCGCCGTGAGCCTCTCAGGTAGGAAGACCACAGCGGGATGAATGTAGACATTTAAATTACAATGGATCATGTTAATCTGAGAAAATTCCGTACCTGTTATTCCACCGGGTTCTCGATTGTCTCAGCCTGGATAGCATTGACTGCACACACACACACCCCCCCCCCTCCCCCATCATCATATTTCATTTTGAATCTGCACTTAATTTGACTAAATTCCAGCTCGACTAATTCTTTGACCGTCAAGCGAAAAAAAACTATTCTCAGAGGCAGAGCCAGTTGGAACATGTTTGTCTCTCTTTGTATTCGAGCACAATGCACTTGAAATTGATCCGAGATAGAGTGCTCTGTGGTATCTGCTTCAGTGGGCCACTTGCGCATGCGAAGCGTTGTACTGCTCCCGCGATGCTTGGGCTCAAGAGATGACGTCGATAGCACAATCGGGGTTAAATTACGTTTGGGAGCTGTGTTTAAAAAAAAAAATTGCGATGAAGGACCTTTTTTTTGTGTGAAAACCAAGAACTGTTTGCTGAGTTTTCACCCAAAATGTGTCTGTCTTTCTCTCCCTGTTTTCACATACGATGATCTGATCCTCATTTTTCCACCTGCACTGCAGTTTATTTAGCCAGTTAACCGTTCTTATATGTTCATTCTCACGGATTGCTATTTAGACGAATAATGTAGTCAGTTGTAATTACTGGCGAAACGTCGTGCTCAGGTTGTAAATGTTGTGGCTTGGCTCTCCAACACACCGGTGTTGCTGTACTAGTGACGAATTGGCACGTTCGGTTTAGGTGACAACCCTTACTAGTTGGCTGTGTCGGGTGGCGGCGGGTTTAATGACACGTTTATAAATTTACGCGATCTAACCCCCCAAAAAAGCTGTATTATGGATGATATTGGTAGCGAAAGCCTACGTGTTAAACTGAATAATGTAGTGTATATATATAGCTCGTATTAATATCTGTCATTTCTCATTCTATTTAAGGAGTTGTATTAACGACCAAACCGCACTGACAAGTGTGGTTGAAGTACGGTTAAACATCCCCCATGAATGATCGGACATGGGGAAGAAGCTTTCAGCCAGCAGCGGATTTGGAAAAGGTTTTTTTTTTAAAATAAACCTTTAACGTGAATTTTGAATGTTCACTGGTCACGCTTTCACGCGTTTGCTCATTCTATTTGGTCACTTTAACCGTCTCCCGGTTGTCTTGTAACCTTCCCAACCCACTCACCCGAACTTGACTCAATTTCCAAAAGGAATGTTTATTTATAACCACGCGAGAACACTTTTGAATTGAAAAGTCTCTCTGTCTTGTAGTTTAAACATGTAACACCAAGTGACGCCATTCAAATTATAATCGTTGCTATTTCCCCAAACCCCCCCTCTCATTACTATAAAATTAACTCTATCTAGAGGTGACATTTTGGAACCTAAGTGAAACTCAGCTATTTATGTTATGGAATTTAAAAACAAACCGTTTAACTAAAAGCATTTTGGGTAATGTAATTTTAAAAAGTTCGGTTTTGTTTACAGGCCTTTTTCAGTCCACTGCCGGTTGAAGGCTTCCTCGTTGCCACGTCGGTTTGAGGGCCTTTGTTATAAACCCATAGTCCCACCACCATGGCTGATGACGATGATGTCCAAGGATAAACAAGTGGCAGTGGCCTGGCTTCGGACGGCGGACGTGGTAGTCCAGTTCGCTCGGGGCAAGGGAAAGAAACACAAAATCACACCGGCTTGAAAACCGGTTAGGTCGGAATAAATGCTCAAAACAAAACTTGACACGCTGAAAAGGGGGAATTCAAAAGAGGCATTATTCAAATCTACAGACGACTGCAACACAATCGACGACTTTATAGTTGTCTGTATTTTCTGTTTCGTCAATGTTAGTCGAATGTGCTTACATGGGGGTTATTGCGTCAACCGCAAAGTTTGGTGAAAATGGAAGACTCGTTTATATTTTTAGAACGGGTATTTGTGGAATTTTTTTTTGACAGCTGGCGGTGTTCGAACGAATGGCGTCAGATTGGGCCGGTGCGGCCCCCATTCGAATCTGAGACATCTTGAGCAATCCTAAACATCTGGAACCGGAATTAAGCATCTCTCCACAAGAGGGTTTTAACGGCGCTAAACTCTATCTCGCCTGGTGCTACCGCATCGCACAAGACATGGGTCCGGGGAATGGCTTCAGTTACCGCTTGGCTACCAGACGGTTGCATAACGTCGAGATTTACTAGCAATGCACCATTCGTATTGTGGAATGATGTACATATATATGGCGAGAAACCCCATCACTGCAGAAACATGAATGCAGGCTGGAAACAAATCATGTAGATGTTGCCACAGAGAGCGATGCAGCACAGTATGGCACGTGCACATGATTGCAAGGCGGAGACGGACATTTGGCGTACGCAATGTACGCCCACGTGTTTGTTTACATAAATGAAATGGGCAACGGAAATGTGCCGACGTTAGTGTTTTTATTCGTATTATTATTTAACTTAATATGTACCTAATACAGTTACGTCGTGACCTCCTTGCCTATTCCTCGCCGAAGACCAGTCTTGAATAAGAGACAACAGACTAACAATTTCGTAACGTTAGCGTGGTATTATAATTTGAGTTCATATTTACAAAGAAACAATATTTACTGAGTTCACTGCTGAGCTGACCTAATGATATCAGGGGGGCCGGGACGGGGAGGGGGGTTGGAGAGCAATGTTGCTCGCCCTCTCACACCCCACGCTGAACACCCACGGGCGACCACACACGTGTGACACTGCCTTCGTCGACTACAGAGTAGTCAAGTGTCCTTCACTCATTTCCAGAGGTCACTTTCGCCGATTGAGACATCGTCAGCGTGAGGGCCCCCACACAATTTGAAACCATTGGGGGTTTGACAGCAGCACGATGATAATGGTGGGGGGGGGGGGGGGGTTACATTAGGTGGCCGCACATCAGCAGCCGCTAGTAGCTCGCGGGCTTTGCAATGAAGAACGCCGCGCTCGATTAACATAGTGACCGAGTAAAATCCGCAGACGACGCCGTGACTAAAATTCAACAGGCAGTCGTCATCGGCTACGCACGGTGCGCGACAGAAGTCCAACAGACGTGCGTGCATGCATGTGGACTAAGACGATGGCTGAAATAACAATGACCCCAGTGAACTCTGTTACAGTCAAGTCGATATACTTCCCGTCCGAGCAGCTAGTGCGGAGCAGTCAGCCGCGCGCTGGCTTTACTGTCGGGTGAATATTGGCGATAAGCCTCACCTCGGCGAGGTTGCGTGCGCCACATGAACTTCGAACCCTGAACGCGGTGGACTCGCGGTCCATGGCCACGAATTTAAAAAAAGAAACGACGGGCCGCTGAAATGTGGCCCTGATTTTTTTTTGTTAGCAAAACTGCCACTTGCCCGCGAGCCCTTTGCGCGAACGGAATTCGGTTGACTCGCTTCCACGCTGCGCTAGCGCCAGGTGAAGTTATCAGTCGCGCGCCTAATCTTTTTAGCTGCTCTCCATTTATTTACAACAAAAACGTGGACGTTATACAAAATAATTAATTGTAGTAGTTTGTCAATTCTCTGCTGCAGGGTTAAGGTCTCCCTCGCACTGTGTTGGTCATGGAGGGGGGGGGGTGACCATACTTCACCACGCTGGTTAATGTGGGCTGGTGAAGGGGGTTACTCCAGACCGGCGCATGTCACACGCCACCGACGTTAGCTGTGTTTGGGAAGTGAACTCGAATCTATTTTGCCCCCCCCCCCCTCCACACTTCTGTTGGAATTTATAACAATGAGAGAAGCATGAAACACAACAGGAGTGTGTGCGTCATCACACTATCACATGACTTGTAAATTCAAAACAAAACTTATCAGATGAGTATACATACACTTAAATATAAAACCACAGCTGTACCATCGCATGCAAATAAACACGATTCCCTCATAGGCTTGCGATATTTATGATGGAAACATCATATCTCGTTCGCTAGGTGTGCGTGCACACTGCACTATGAATGCCTGGTTGCGATTGCTGCATTGCTCAGTGATGGAATGAAACGCACACAGTGTAAAGGTAGAGACGGTGCAGTGAATGTGCACCGTGTGTGAGCGCGTTGTGAGACTTTCACGTCAATGTTTCAACAAATCAGACCGTTCCATTCCTCGCGGCAAGAAACACTGCATTGCATTGGTAAAGGAACAAAAACATAACAAAGACTCAGAACAAGACTCTTTTAACTGCTTGATGGCATTGCTGCCATGGGCCAGACTTCCCTAATTTCCATCGTTCAATGCTGTTGATGTGAGACTTTGATGTGAGACTTCCTAGAGAACAGCCAGGGTAGGCGATGCGTAGTACAGAATAAATAAATACAAATTATACAAAGAACATTCAAAACATCGTTTTTAATTTAATGAGAGCCGTACAAAAATGTTTACAACCCCCGATAATGTCGTACAGCGTCAGTTCACAAGAAGCCCAAAGACAAGTCGACTCGACTGTGAACACGATGCTCTAAAATAATTCTGAATTCTCACCTCACGGCAAAAACAAGCATAACCAATTTCCACCGTGCTCAACTTACAAACCGGTGGGCCTAAACCCCCCTTCCAAAATAAACAGTACATTGCGAATATTTACTTTGGAACCCAATTGATATATTTTGTGCATCTTCAAAATGAATCCAGAATTCCCATTAAAATAAAGGCAAGTGAAATTAAATACAAACTACATCTACAGTGTTTATTCAAGCTGCGATATTGTATAGTTCTTAAATACACTCGTTTGAGATAAACCGACAGTGTAGGGAGGAAAGATGGTCTGCATATGTGAAACCGTGAATAAAACGAAAGCTATTTGTGCGACAGGGAGACAGAAAGAGAAATAAAATAGCCCGTGTGGAATGTATCCCTGCCCAATTGGCTGCTTCACAGACAAAGGGGGAAAAAAGTGCTCAGGGGGCTGCAGGCAGCAGATGCCTCAAGCCACGCATCGCGAATACACAGCCTACCAAAAAAAACCCCTCTCCAAACCTAGTGCAACCACTCCTCTAATCCTCTTCGCACAACCCTGGGAACCCGACCAAACCAGCTCTGCTTGCTCCCTCGCCGCACAAAAAAAAAACACATTATTGGTTGCTGTAGGGCATGAGTTGAGAACCTCTGGCACGCGTGCCAAATTGAACTTGAATCGTAACAACGTGAAGCATGGGCAGTGTCGCCTTTGGCCCGTTGCGACTGAGAGCGCAAGGATTTGCGAGCAAGATCGGGGCTGCTTGTGGCTCGCAAAGTTTTCGAACCACAAGCAGTCCCGATCGTCCTTGGTGCGCTCGCAAACAGAAAGGCGAGAACACCACTCATCTGGGTTTAAATAAATTGCCATTAAAATGTGTCCTTAACGTGTGGTGGCGTTGAAGGCGTCAATTAATTTATTCGGCGAGGGATTCCTCACTTGCAGCTGACTCAGATTGGCCCGTCACTAAGCAAGCCAGCCAGCCTAGCCAGCCTAGCCAGCCAGCCTAGCCAGCCTAGCCAGACAGCCCAGCCAGACAGCCTAGCCAGCCAGCCAGCCTAACCAGCATAGCCAGCTTAGCCAGCCAGCCAGCCTAGCCAGGCAGCCAGCCTAGCCAGCCAGCCTAGCCAGACAGGCCAGCCAGCCAGCAGCCGGCCGTAGGAAAACAGAAAGCGATTTCATGCACGTTTGTCAATTGGCGCTGCCTGCCCCCACCCTGGTCGCTTGACCTTTCTCGAAACGCGCCCGCGTGGATCTGCCGAGCCAAAGAGTCGTGAAATCGCTGGAACGTGGCCGCCCACTCCCTATTTTGAGATGGTAAATTGTGATGGATTAAGCTTTCCAATTACACGCACTTAGCACCCGATTCCCGTTCAATTAGGTCGCGGGGTCGTGGACGGTAAGGTCAAAGGGTGGCTTGCACTTTTGTGCAACATCAGTTTGTGTGCGTTGCTGTTGCACGCTAATGTCAATACAATTACAATGCAACTATGATTTCAGCCTCCGCAAAGTGCCGCTGCAAGCTTTTCCCACGATTGTTGATACTCTGAAAATCAGATTAAGCAAAACATCTCTTTCTAATATGCTTTTTGTAGCACGAGTGCCCTAAATCTAAAATTGGTTGGCACTTGGGGATGTGGTCTACACACAGCTTGGACAGTATCCATAAGTGGCCTGAGAATAACCCCTTCCTGCAAGAATATCTGCCGCGCACAAACTTGGGTCCCAGTCGCTGAGTAGGGCTCCGGTTTTAAGTCATCGCATTCGCGGGGTTAGGGGATGAAGCAGAGGGTGCTAAGAATTACTAGGTCTGAACAGGGCCAGCTTCTGCATTTGACCATTGTTACAACGCAACACGTGAGCTCTGGTGAATAAAATATAAACTGAAGACATAACTAAGAGAGATCAATGAGTCACAGCTGGATTATTTTAAAAGGTGAAAAGTGCATACATTTACATAGTGCTAAACCTATTCTATCATAGAGTGAGAGTTGACATTCATTACGGTGAAGTGGGATTCTTAGTCTCTCCAGCAATCAAACATAGAATTGAGATTTAAGGGTACATCATATCGAGTTGTCCACCTAATAATGTGCAGGCTATTAAACCATGACCATGATTATATGAAAGGCAATTCAAATAGCCTTTTAGAACAGGCCATGGAGATGCATGAGTAGACGAAAAGTATGAAGGCATTAACCAACTTATAGATTACATCGTAATGAATGACTGTGATCCACAGGTACATGAAAGACGCGGCGATTCAGGGATGATTGGTAACTTTAGTATTGGAGTGAGGAATGGAGAGAAGAAAGCTTCTATGAGCGTTCACAACCAGGAGGGGAATTAAGATGATGATAGCCTTTAAAAAAAGTCTATAAAATCACATGGAGGAATACAAACTAAGTAATTGGACGCAATAGGGGTCTTCTTCGACGTTGCGAGTTCTGATGCTGAAGCAAAGAAAATGGAAAATGAAATCAACCTGATTCGTCCAGACTCAGCAGATTGTCAGAGATGTCTCTAAGTCTAAAGCTCACGCCGAAGCGCTTTCGAGTTACACGCACACACCCTCATCGTTCTGCATTCGACGAGTTCGAAGCACAACGGAACCAACTTAAACAACCATTGTCAAGCAGCAGTACACATCCTCCATTAATGCAGGAGGAGCAGGTGGCAGGGCGAATCGAAATCCATATGGCTTGCGATAGCTCGTGGTCATTAAACCACATGCGCGCGCGCGTACACACACACACACCATGCTCCTGGCCCTATCTTTGGAAGAACAACGCTGCCTCTTAATATAGCCACAGGGAAACCGAAAGACACACAGAAACAACTTCCTGAACACCGTCAATGCACAACAGCAGTCAGGTGTTCATGAAATGAACAGTGTCAAATTGACCAAGGCCATCGAATAGGACCAGGACGAGCAATTGGCAGCATAAGGAAATGGCTTATAATCGCCTGATGAAGCCGGTTGCAATCGCCAGCGAAACGTCATCTCGAATTGTAAATGGTCGGGGTTTATTCTCCCAACACACAGGCGTGTTGAAGCAGTAACTAATTGGCACGTTTTGTTTACGTGACAACCTTACTAATTGTCTGTGGCGGGCGAAACGACACATTAACGCGACCTAAACCCAAAACCCCCCTTATTATGGATAACGGTAGAGATTGTAATCACCCCTCGGAAATGGTACAATCCGTGACCCCTATGAACGGCTCAGATTGGGCTCGTCCGACCGCTTTTGATTGGTCCGTTTAGAATCACATGGATTGGAAATCCCCCAAGGTCACTTTTCATTGTGCTCCAAGTCAACAATATCGTTCTTTTAGAATGACTGGTACCGATTACCGTACAGTTTCGCGTGACTCAGTTGGGTCGTAGTAATTTTCCATTGTTAAAAGAATTAAATGTCACAGTGCACTGCTTTATTAGCATATACCTTAGGTACATTGGCAGGGCCAGATTCACGTCGCATTTTGGATTTAGCAATTTGTCCCCATTGTTATTGGTGGTGGTGGCATCGGCAGCTGTTGAATGGATGAAAAAGGAGCATTATCCAAACACGTAAATCAGGACTTATATAATTTACACGTAGTATTCAGTGTTGATCAGCAAGTGTACAAGTCCATACCGCTATAAACGGGTTCACTGCCATTACAAGACTGGGAATAAAAGGCTGCTTAATTTTTTTTTTCTCCTGCAGCTTTCAGCCAAAGCCTGTGGATAAATGGCAGTCTTTGTTGCATGGATTTTGGAAGGATCCTATCAAACGACAGAATTTCACACCACAGGATTTACGTGGTAGCGTTTAGAGCCTTTTGAGCCTGAAGTGCCACTTACATATTCGCGATACCATAGCGCATTTTACACTTCATCCCCCGCAAACATTACCTTCGTATTCCATTACCTGAACTTATTTTTGTATTACTCATCTGGAGCAAGAACTTTTTTTTAATTTCAAGGGCGATTCCTTCGTAGAAGTACTGTATTCATCACTGCTGCGGAAGAGTTCATCTAAGCGCACTTGCAACAACAGCCAATCCGATTACATGTCTTCAACGTTTATTTCGTATTTCACCTGCGCGTGAGTATTAACACAGTTCATTTCCTTTTAGAGGTTTACTTCATACTCTTACTCTGTCCAGTTAAGTAGAAAGATCATTCCACACCCCCACCCCCCTTGAGCTCATTACGGTCGCCTCCTACTAACGGAAGGATGGTTGAACAAATCCATTCCCCACCCCATATAGCCACCCCAGAAGCATAAAACAGATTCTAGAGACCGTGTCTAGATAACCATTAACAACAACCCTTGAGCCGCTGACTCGCTCGCCTGTCCAATTATCTCCACGTCCTCACCATGCCGTCTCACTTTGTTAGGAACAAAATGTAGTCCCTATAAACAAAATTAGTTATTTTTTTACAACGCACGTTTCATCCCTTCCCTTCTGTTCCCCCAGTGAATGTCAACTCCGTTAAAAATAGAACCTTCGGATAAGAATAAAGATATAAATTTGTTTAAACGGCGTTCATACAGAAGCAAACATATTTTTTAAAGTCATGAGTCATTGTTAAACAGACTGAAAAAGTGCACATTTTACAAATCCTGGAAAAGGCAAACAGACATTGTGACAGAACTTTGCATAACAACTTTAAAATCAAAAGCATACAATATGCTACAGGGTGGCCTAACAGTTGGTTTATCGAGATATTGTAACACTAGTGTTACACTATCTCGGTAAACTAATGTTTGGGCTAACCTGTACTTTTGGCCTTACTTGATTAAAAATTACTCAAATGCAGGACAACTTAAAAAATATGCAAAATGGATTTTCCTGTCAAATGTACTGTAGCCTCTGAGCATGTAACTCTTTATAGAATGTGGGTGCATGTACTAAAATCACACTCCGTCATTTTCCAATCACCAATTACAGTTTGTGGGTGAATCACAGCTAATTTTCCACGTGCACCATCTTACGGGCATCCTGAGATCTGCTATTTACGATTAAACAAGACCACAGACTAAACAACTCTGCGCTTGCCTGTGCCATTCGTGTGCGGCTTTGAGCAAAATGCGTACATTCAGACATGCTTGTGTGCATTTTAGCACGTGAAACACAGCACGCAACTCCAGGCCTTATTCCTGGAGCACTGCACAAAGCTCAACTTCACAATTACTGCACGTCTGACGTTTTTGCTCCACATGCCGAGTTTCTTCCGCAAAATTAATTGGGGGTGGGACAAGGGAACTGCTCAGCTCAGTTCCCGAAGAAGCTCCCAGCATGTGGAATAAAACGTCAGACGTGATGCCGAAAACGCATCGGAGAGCTACACACACACACAATCGTGTGTCCCTGCGCAGACTTTGGGTGAGATTCAGTAGCCAAGGCATGCATGTTATATCCGCTTGCTACCCAACCGAGACAGAGCGGGGAGGGTTACCCGTGCGAGGTGTAAACAGTTGGGACAGTTGATTATAGTTGTGTTGTTACAAGCTGGCCCGACACCAATTGCGATGAAGGGACAGATCTGGATGCAAGGTCCGTTATGAAAATCCGACCGACTTCTTTTGGGGGTGACACCGTCTCAGATTTTAGTCGCATTTCAAACATTGTGCGTGCGGGTGTTAGAAGCGTCGCGGTTGGCAGATTGTTCTTTGCTGGAAGACGAGAAGCTTGAAATTGTACTGCGTTTCACCAAATTATCGTCACTTCCGCCGTCAGCTTTGTACCTGTCTTGTGTGCGAGGCTTTCGAGTCTGAACCGAAGTACGCTGCTCTGGAGGAGAAATCTCCGACGCAAATCCACGTCGCCTTTTGGGGAAATTATTTTAAATGCAGGACTCGGCGGCATCACACGATTTGATGAGGAAATTGGAAATCCTAGTCCACATCAACCGCATCGTACATCAAAATGGGAAAATACATTTAAATCGGTAACTTAAAAAATACATTTTAATGTTTACTGTCTTTTTCTGTATATGTTTGAATTCATGAAGGGGACTGGATGATGAGGCATTTTTCGCACCTCCAATTAGCAAACAGTTGGCTACGTATGGTGCGAAGGTTCAACATACATACATACATTTGAAGGTGTGGCAACTATAGTTCACCATTAAAGGGTTTGGAATTCCAAATGTGAAATCTAAGAGGAAGTAACTGGACGGAATTGTGGTGCATTTAATTCGAATTACTCCTCGCACCACTATAAACATGCTCATAGACATATTGCAAGGGTAAATTAGCATTCTTAAGTCATTATATGTTACACACTTGTTTAATATTTTGACATATACACAGTTAGATTTTTCAGTATCCCATAAAATGCACTTTCATGATATATGTAAAATATTAAAATAAATTTACACAATTGTCAAAATTAGTTTTGGAATGTTACGTGATTGTTTGCTTAAAACCAGACATTCATGATCCTGACCCTGAACAAGATACAGTATATACAATTGCATAGTCTTTTAAGGCCATCTATCAAAGAATGAAAAACTGTTTTTTTTTTTTTACAAAATAATCGAGTGCGGGCTCTTAATGCAGGAACATCTCTTTACATTATTTATACTCTATGAAGCAAACTTGTAGTGGAGTTGCGTAGATTCGTGAGGCTATGTACACAGGAAGTCATTTGACACCCAGAACCCCGACGACCTCGGGTTCACACCGTTCCTGAGAATACGTCGCAGAACTGCCACCTGACGCTCGGTTCTTTCCACAGGTTTCCACCCCAGCCCAATCCCTTCGCAAATGTTTTTCACGTTTTGTTTTGATTGGGGCGCCCTTGAAGGAACGTTCAAGGTGCCGCACCATTAAGCGATGCCAGGTGAACCTTTCAGCAGCATGTTATATAAAATAACAAAAAATTAAAAGCACTTGGGACTCGTCGGCAGGTTTTGTCTCTTCCAACCCCTGCATTGGAGTTTTTTTGGGATAGGTTTTGAAAACTTTCTTTACATTTCCCAAGCCGTCCTCTCAGCCACACCCGGCTCAGATGCTTATCAACGACACTCCCCCTAGCTGAGCAGGCACGGGGAGCCTCCCTCGCCACTCTCGCCAGCAGGCACGTTCAGGGGGGGGGGGTGGTGGTGGGGTAACTTGGTGGTGGTCCGTGAAGGCAGGGAGAACGCCCGCCTGTCCGCCCAGGAGTCAGCCGTGAATGACAGCGGTAGCCGCGTCCGGGTGGTGGGGAATGACCAGGAACTCGATGTTGCTTCGCAGCCCCAGTACGTGGCCTTGTGGTATGACCACGATCTCGTCTGAGAAAGAGAAGAAAACAAGCACCGTGTAAGACCAACAGAATGTCCAAGTCGTAACCTGAGGTCAAGCTCCCGCCCCCCACCTCCTAACACTCAGGTGATTAACTAGCAACAGCACACAGTGGTCGAATTTTTTATCACGTGGGAGTCCTTTGGTTATTAAAAATAACCAGCTATAAGCAATTGTATGTTTGATTGTTCTCCAATGTGTTTTTTCGGGTTGTACCGCCAGCTGTTTGGCATGACCCCTGACCTTTTGCTCCACGTGCTGGGAGTTTCCACAGGAAAGTTAAGAAACTCCCAGTACAAGGAACGATAGATCGGACGTCATGCAGAACAACACGTAGTACAATCTGAAAAAAAGAAATTGTTTAGCTTTAAAACGCAAATGCTAAAACCTACCCGGTAAATGATTGTATGTGCAATCGGCAATGTTCGACTCATATTGGGCTCAGCATCTCAGTGGTGGCACCAGAACAGGACCGTGCACATGGGAAGTGGGCCTTAGAGGCCCTGCAAGAGTCACATTCATCGCTTGGTCAAACCAACTTCAACGAAAAGTACAATGGCATTCTTAGTATGGGGCAGTCACGGTAGCAAGTTGACCAAACTCTGACTGGGGATGAGTGGGTGTGTTAAGCATATTAACTGTCCAATGTCCAAATTTAGACATGCAGGCATATGCTGGCCCACCCAAATAACTGGTCAAACATAACTTTAAATAGATTGGTCAAAAGTTGCCTAAATACTACACGACTTAACATTGGAAGTGGCTGCCGTGATCCACCCCCGACTGGCGAAGCTTCCCCAAGCCATTGGCAATCCATCCAATCACCTGTGTGCACACGAGCGGATGATTTCGTCTCAGGCATGCTTTTCCCTCCTTTGGCTGTCCCGGTTACTCTTATCGACCACGAGCCATCGTCGATTCTAGCTGTGTCCTGCACTAGCCTACGCACAGTCAGTGTATCTAATTTGCATTTGATCACTAACAAATGTTTTACCCCGTCTTGTTTCTCAGTTTATGTCCAAGCATTCACCAGGCTCCATGTGCTTCTTTTGCATGCGTTTTCACTTTTGTTCATGTCAATGATATTTGTCAACATTACCAATAAGTGCATAATTAATGTTTTTTTTATGTCGATTAGAAACATGGACACTGACAAAGATAAGGTAGCAGTGGTGTAAATTAAACATCAGAATGGACTATGCTAGTAGAAAGCATTAGGCAGTGTTTTGCGAGTCACAAGTCACAGGATAATAGGACTTGAATTCATGATTCAAAATTCAAACCCTGTTTTACGGAAGAACTTAGTTACAACTTCTGTGGGACGGACATTAATACATGGGAAATATAACCACAAGCAAACCATATGCTTTCAAGCTTTACTGCACGGCATGCAATTTGAACAAAGATTGAGACACCAAAGGCATCTTTTGTTCTGAGGTTTCCAATTTCCACTTGCCAGCTGTTGGCTCAGACCAGTTTTTCTACTCTCTACAAGACACGGGGCTTTTACGTTCCCGCACTGTAACAGTGCATCATCCATCTTGTGCCAAATGGTTTTCATTGCTACTACAAACACGTCACGTGGCCCTTCGGTAAAACCTAAGAGCAATTCGCAGCCGATTATGACTGACAGCCACCCCCACGCCTATACGTACGTCTGCCAGCTGCATCTGCCGACAGGTGACTTGGCCACATGTACGAGATGCTGGTGCCCGGAGAGCCGTTCAAGGAGCTCGGAAACGGCGTGGTCGTGTGACACATGGTGGGCACCCAGGCCGGATGTATCTTGTCCAAGTGTAAGACTGTGGTTTCGGGATGGTGTTGATGATGTTGCTGGTTCAGTGCCTGCTGCTCCTCCGTCTGATCCTCCTGCTCTGGCCTGCACTGTTGCTGATCACTGTGCTGGTGGTGCTGCTGATGCTGCTGATGCTGCTCATGGTGCTGATGCTGCTCATGCTGCTCATGCTGCTCTCTCTGCTCACAGCCCGGATTCGAGTCGCTGGGCCAGGCAGCGGCAGGGTCCGAGTCCGTGCCGGGCTTGCCGTTTCCAAGCCTCACGATTACGGAGGCCGTCCTCCTGCTCTGCAGGTACTGGGCATTGTCAGCGTGGGGGGCCGGTGGCTCCTTGCCGTGCTCCTCGGAGCTCCCCCTCGTCGCAACGTGCGGGGCAGTCACCCCTTCCCGGTCGTCACACTCGTTTCTCCTCCACCACGACTCCACATCGCGCCTCTGTTGCGACGCCTCCCGTCGCAGGTGCTGATTCCGTGCTCGGGATGTCTATAAACGGAGGTTACGCACGCGCACATGAGAGACGCACGTTATATGGTGCCCATCCGTCTCGCGCTCTTACTTATGTAGAAGTCTGGCCGCCGAAATGGGGTGCTGTTGTCCAAGGGTAATGTAAAATTTGTTGGCGACGAATGTATAACTAACTACATGCATCTGCAGTCACGTTTCCGAACGGCAATCTGAATCAAAGTAGAATCGAAGTGGAATTGCATTTCATCTCTCTTAGCACAATTTACAACAGGGTTTAAATTTCCCGGTTTGAACAAAATGTAGAGTTAATGTTGATTGCACAATAACCAATCTGTTACGTGTTTAGGCCCCAACTGGCCTGTGTATTTGCCGACACAATAGCCTTCACAATTCTTGTAATCCCTTTTGTCATTGCGTCCAGCATTTAGGACAAACAAAAGTATTGTGATTTCACTAAAAGCAGCGGGTGGTGTAATTTAACATTGGAGGATAAGACTAATAATTATAATCCAGACATAGACAAAAACCGCGTATACTCGCAATACATGTCGGAGATCAATGTGAAAAGTAGGACGATAGTAAGTAATTTGACAGAGAAGTGAAACGTAGTGTGTGAATATTGTACTTTAAATTTTGATTTAAAGCTTTCGTGACTGCAGGGATTCATATTCTTGGTTCTTTCGGTAAAGTCACGTAGAAGGGAAACAATAAAATATATAAAAAATAAAATTCTCACGACAATTCGACTGCAACACAAGCAATCATCATCAGGTGTGACTTTACCGAAAAAAACAAGAATATAAAAAGTATTGTGATGGCTGTTTTGGGGTAATGCATGCGCTGATAAATGTTTACATTGTGTCTGCACGGTAAGTGCGGTACTATATTTTTAGAGGTTAGAAAACATTGTACTGTCCTATAATGAAAATAATAATTGCTATTAATTGTAATAGCAGTGTAAGACAAACCTGTGGGGAGCTCTTGTCTACATCGTCAGTCTCCATGTCGCTGTCATCTGCTGCGATGACATCACACACAAATTAGGTATGCAACGACATGTCAATAACATTGATTCTCATGCTCGTGATGCAAGTATACATTCGCACATGGGATAATCTATTGTTAACATTTAGGTTAACGCTCATTTAGGCTATGGGAACAAACAATTGTTAAAATTAGGCAGAAGAAACAAAAGTTTATACAAAAGACAATAAAAATGCAGTATTTGATCATATTATTTACATCAACTCGTTTTACAATATGTAGTTTCAGTGGTTTTTATATTCATTAACATTTTCTCTTCTACAGCACGTCTGGTACATGGCATACTAATTCATTAGTGGGAAGGGATCTCCCAACCGGTTACTGATATCACTCGCCACTCATGGCCGTGAATCAAAATAAGGTCGGCGGATTCATAGAACTGTGTGCTAACCACCGCACCACCACTCACTATTCCTTATTTATCCGTCAACACGTGTATTTATCGCATCGAGCCCTGTTCTGTGAATTGCATATTATTATTATTATTGGTATGATTGTTTAGCCACGAAAGCCTCCCCCAGTCTCAGCACTAGATTACAAGGAGAGAATCCTACCAAGTTTTCGCAGGAAGGAGGCGATGATTGCTAGGCCCCAATCTCAAAGCAATACTTTTCAGGTAATTTTTCAAATTCGACCGATTTAGACTACAACACGCCGGCACACGATGGCCTATTATTGTGAACGACGTCGCGAGATCTTAAACGTCGGCCAAAGCAGAGGGTGCGTATTTTTCTTGTGGCGAATACACCGGCAGTATTAAAAAAAAATCAGGGCGGCTGCTGGATTTGCCCCGTAAGGACCTCGGCAACAAACGGCAAACACACTCCCGCTAGGCCAGGCCAAGATAAAATGTCGAATACAATGACGATGATAAAATTGAGACCAAGACACAATTGATTCTTGCGGTAGAATTGCAACCCTGAAATCATGAAGATTTATCAAATCACTTTGGGGGCGGCAGGGGGTATAAGAGGAAGTGAACCGTTACGCATTTCGTGTTACTGCAATGTCCGAAATCCTCTCTTCGTTCAAGAGCCGAGCCCTGGATTCGTCGCTGGTAGCAGTGCGGCTGTGAGACAGAACACCGCCCCCACCCAACCCTCGCACCTTCTGAGCTGGCTCCGGAGGAGATCTGCAGATTGTAGCTGTCGTCGCTGTCGGGGTTTTCCGTCTTTACCTCTACCATCTGGCTCCACTCCGGGTAGAACATCTCATCCTTTATATCTGGCAGAACTGGCGAGAGAATTACAACATGATGTACAGACCTCTTTGGTCAACCAAATGCTGGATGAAGGCCTCCCCCGCATCGTCACGATAGAGAAGGAACTACGAGCCATGGAGAAATGCCCCTGACTGTGTCTGTTTGTTGTCCCACTCATTATTTCCCCCCCATGCTTTGATTTTGGTGTTTGTACCTGGACTGCGATCCAAAGACACAAGCGTAGGAAATCCGTGAGGCAGTACTGTCGGTAATGAATTTGGTTGTGCAGAGGTTTGAGCATCATTTCTTCATGCGTGCAGTTTTCTCTCTGGGTTACTGTGCGTTTTTACTCTCACAGTGAACAAAAGTAGTTTAAACATCTCAAAGCAGGAGCCTCTTAAAGTGTATCTCAAGAGTCGGTGATTGTCAACTGGGTAAATACATTGCATTGTGTATAAAGAATGCTGTATTTATGAAGTTCTCTTTTCACTTTTATTCACTCTCCCATTTGATCATAAAGCCACACCGAGGCTAGGATCTGAAGCGAGGAAGAACTTGCAAAGAAAGCAGTAGCTCTGTATAAAACCGTAAATCAGTCATGGGAGATGTGCCATCAAGTCACCCATTTAAATTAACACTGGGATTACATTACAAAGGAAAAATACTAATTTTCCAAAGATTTGCTTTGCAAATGAGCAAGCTCTGCTTTGGTCAGCAAGCTCTTATTAGAATTCCATTCTGCAAGGGCAACCACAAATAGCTCAACAAAGATGAAGATAATACCCACAAGTCACGCAGACGACGGTTAGTGTGTTTATACAATGCATTAACAGCCACCCAATACGCAAACAGAAAACACAAGTTACATAACTCCATTCATGCAGCACGCTATGAGAAACAACAATCACAATACACTCGGGCACAAAAACAGCTTTACAAACAATACTACTAAGTACCTTCAATTAAATGCAATTAATGAATGGAGGAATTAAGTTATTATTGTAGTGATTTGAACATTATCACTTTAACAAATGAATAGATGGAAGCATAAAAGCATAAACTATAGACGGAAATGAAGAAATACTTTCGTAAACAATGCTGTCTTCAGCGCTACGTCAGACTGACGTCACGTATCAACACCCACAGCGTCACCTTTTGTTTTAAACACGGTTGCTGAGCACAGGCCCAAAGGCCAATTATGCCACGTGGCAAACAACACTCATAAAGTTGTAACAGAAAAGTTACATGTCTTGAATTGAGGATGGTTACAAGAAATAAAAGAGAAGATGGGAAGGAATACCAAAGTCAAGCAGTGCAAGTAAAGCAGAAAGCGAAGTGTTGTAACTTACAGCGTGGTGGTCGAACAAGTTCTCAATATTAGGCATAGGAATAAAAAAAAAAAATTGCTTACGACCATTCCGTCGATTCCCCTTGCCCACCTTTAAAAAAAATAAAGAACACCTTTGGCAATTCTCGAGCTCTGCTGCCGCATTTACCTGCGTTGGCCATGCTGTGCACCTCCTCGTGCTCGTGCGACGAAGAAGGTTCTTGTGTGCCCAGAGCCACTGGGGAGCCCTGGTTCTGCTGCTGCGGGTCGTTGCGCCATACCTCCTGCAGGCCGTAGGTCGCAATGGAAGCTCCGGCTTTGAGGCTGCACTGTGTAGCCAGCACAGTGAGGTTCCCGTGCTCGCAGTCTTGCGTCGCCAAAGGCGCCTGCAACGCGTATAGAACTGGCACGCCTTCCTCTTGCTCCGTCTCGTTGCCTCCGTGCGGGGAGACCTCGCGCTTTACAGGCAAGTCGGAAGGGTGGCAGGAGGCCACGGAAGGATCGCTCAATTTGTCCCGATTATCCGTAAGGGGCGACGGCGTCTCGCCAATGGGCAGCTTCTCGTCGGACAGGTCGCCCGCTTTGCTCACGACGTCTGGCCGGCGTTCGGGGAAAGTGGAATGGTGGTGGCTGCTGTGCCCCGGAAGCTCGGCCGGCGTCTCCTCGCGGCCGTCGTGGTTGTCGTCGTCCGTGCTCTTGTCAATGAGGCTGTCGCACAGCATTTTCTGGATCTGAGATGACGTTAAGAGCCGGCAGTTCTCCAGCTTGATGTGCATCCTCTGCCGGTGGTCACTGCCACCTTCTCCTTTCACACTCCCCGACTGATCCTGAAATTCAGCAGAACATTGCAGCTGTTACTATGTTTGGAATCCCAATTACAGTTTGCTAATACAAGGGGTTGAAGTGGTGGCATAGTGGTTTGTGCACTGCACTATGAATGGTGAACCTCTTTCACACCGTAAGTAGCTAACCATGCTAATAGGTGTGGGGGGGGGCAAGGACAACCTAACAACCAGAGTTTGATTCCTGGCTATGGCTAGCAAAGGTAACGAGTGATATATACGAACCGGTTATGCCCCCCACCCCACCCACCTTTGCCAGCCTGGACTAGGACAGCACAGTAACGTTTGGCCAAACTACCCGCCATGACTGCAACGGCATGGGAAGGCCTCCTTCAAGCAATGGATGGACAAAAATCTTAAACTATTATTATTAATAAAAGGGTTAACAAAGTTCAATCCACGGCCGATGGATTTTGCAGATTAATGTTTAAGTTTACAAATGGCAACTTTGAACCGGTTTCTATTCCAAAGGAGTCCCCTTCAGCAAAGTGGGATCCAATTGTTAATCAAACCCATTTAATGAAGAAGGGGTTCAACGCTGCCTTGTTTAAACAAACACTTTGTAAACACTGAAGGGGGAGGCCCAAAGGCCAAAAGAATGATGCCATGTCTCTTTAGCCATCTATCAAACTCTTTAACTTGCTCAAGGCCCACCAGAATGTACACATCGTTGATCCGAAGGACCTCATCCCGCAAATAAAATAAATATATGTTTTAAGAAAATCGTACAGATTAGGGTTTTTACACTGACACATCATGATTGTATGCTTTTGATAACAGTTTAAATGTATGCAACCTCTAGCAGCATTTGTTTTTACAAGTGTATAAGGATCATTTTAGTCTGCGAGAAAACAGACGAAAGCATAGGATTAACTTCCTTTCTAGGGGCAGTGTACTTTTTGATAGTGTCCCTGCAGGAAATCATTAAGAGGCCAAGATGGGTGCTCAAGCTGTTAAACATTGGCGCTTCGAATCTTGCGAGCCAACACTAAACAAACCCTTGCTTTCATGACATTTAAGAAGGATGTGTTCCAGTTGTACAACCTAAAATGAAACTGAAACATGTTTCTACCTTGGAGGACAAGCATGAGTCGTAAAAAAAAAAGTATTTTAAAAAGTCTAGACACCAGAAGGGTCAAGAAAACTCAAAACAAAACCGAAACTTTTGGAAGTGGAAGTAACTCATGTTACTGCGCACATATCAGCTGCTATGGATAGAAAACTGCGCCGTGCTGTAACCCATGGCGTTCATGTTTCCAAAACAGTCTTGCTACATCATTGCCTTGGCAACGTGCCACCCACCGAATGCTGCCGTAAAGATGATTGTTCGAAATAAAAGTTTAAAGCATGTGTTTCCGACCAGATCAATACAACTGCAACACAGACGATAAACCGACTGTTTAGTGTTGGGATGCATTGCTCGATTCTAAAATCCGTGCACTGAAAAATAATGTGAAAGGACCGACTCGTTGTGCATTACATATTCACATGTGATAATTAGAAAGAACTGGACACTGCCGTGGTATGAATTCAGCAACGTCCTAAATGTAATAATACAATGAATACGGAAGTGATTTGTAAATAAATGGGGAAGGAATGTCGTAAATCACATGCAGAAATGTGCGATCACGTGGAACATACTGGATTCATAATCATCAGCCATGTTCTATGCACTGCTAGATAGCGGCCTCTCCACATTGTTGCCACTTCTCAGCCCCCTGACACCACATTCCGCACTCGAGCTAATCTTATCTCTGCATCGTCTCGGTGGTCGTACTTGGGATGCGAAACCCCCCATGGTTGCCACTCCCATCACCTGTCTTGTCCATCAGTCAACTTCCCTCCTAGAATAGTGTTCTTCCCAGGATTCCTACCGATTTGCGTTTTGTTCTCCCATCAATGTTCCTCTTTTCGTCTTTCAGTAGAATTCCAAAGATGCACTTCTCCATGCCTCTTCGTGTACTTTGTCTGTTGCGTCGATTCACTTTTAGCGGTGTTCATTTCTGATCTGTGTCATTGCAGCTTAAAATATATGTAACGTGCACTCACTGAAAACTTTTCCTCTGTTGTTAAAGTGGTAGGTTGATTCTCATTATCAAATCTAATTTCCAAAAAGTACTCCAACATGTTCTGGCTTGCCTCTTTTTAGTAATATTGATATCAGTCCACCATCAATGACAACCAGATATATATGTGTTATATACCTTCAATTGTGTTTTTTGGCCAACAATTATTTTATTTTGTTCAGCAAACTCGTCCCGTGCGACTTTTGTTACGCTTATTTATATCCAAATTTTGCAGCCTTTGTTCAGTTGTTCAAATCATTTCCTCTAGTTCATTTCCACAGGATGTTATAATCACTGTGTCGTCAGCACGTATTGGATTACCGTATTACATTGTTGGTCTTAGATAGGGTATGTTAGTGCAAGCACATGTACGTAAATCAACAGGGGCATGTTAATTCAGGCGTGTTAAAGTGTTGCAGTATCGACAATCACGGTGTCACCGATTAACAAAGGGTGGTTAACAATAAACAAATGTGAATGATAAAAAAAATTCACAAGGTGAATTCTATATGGTAAAAGACACAATAGTGACCAGAGAATCATCATAGAAGCAAACTTATGTTGTCTAGAAATCACATTTTGCATGTTTTTATTCACATTTGCTTTCAGTCTGCATGTGCGTATCTGTCGAGTTTCTCATCACTTACATTAAGTGTTGCTATTGATTTAACACGCAGATGTATAAACGCACATACAGAAAGGCTCATTGAAGCAGATGGTGGTTGTACCGTAAGAGACATTTTTTTGTTTCCAGGAAGTGCACTTACATTGTCCGAGGCCATTCCATTAAGTTTGTCATTCTTGGCCAGAGACCCTGCTCACACAGAGTGGCAACACGAGACGTTGAACAATGCTCAACGCCAGCGAACACGCCACACGCTATGAACCGCTCGACATTAACGTTGACACAGCGAAGCCGACCGGATTGGGTGTAAACCTGACAGCCGATCGGCTGGGCCACGATGAGCGATGTGGGGGGAGGGTTGAGAAACGCAAGCGATGATTCTTGGGGTTCATGACGAACCTTTGTCAATGCTGCCATGCCGATGAGTCCAAAGTCTACCTACTACAGTAACGCGACGCTGTGCAATGTGTTTTGTCTTGCCAAAGGGGCCACAACAACTACTACTACGGGGTCACTGTGTTGGACACCAGAGCCACATGCGACACTGTGGACGTGTGCCAGAATCAGTGGCGTCTGGAATGCTAAGAAATGTTAACAAATATAATAGAGTAATAATACAGTAAAATGGATATTGAATATATTTGAAACTCGATTCTTGCTCATGTACTGCCGCGATCCAAATGAACAATACATTTTCTAAATTGAAAACTAATTTATTTCGAACTGCTACCTCCGATTAGCATGGTTGGCTACGTACGGACGCGAAATAAGTTCAACATACATACATTTAATAACTAAAGTGCACAAAGTTAAAGAGCTATATATAGCAGCAAGGCATGCCATTATTGTCTATTTTTTAAAATTTCTGTTCCATTCGTTATGTACATGCATCCCCTGGGGGCAAATAATGTGACCGCATCAACAGATTCCTGTACAAAAATGACATGATGTGTGGGGGGTGTGGGGGGGGGGGGAGGGAGCTCATGTGTATAGGGGCAGTGGCAGGGGAAGCCAACAGGGGTACAGGAAACTGGATAGCATGTGTTTTACCCAAACACCTGCTGCACCAGTAGCACAACTGTACTTCCTTTAACGGCGGGTTTCGCCCTTTGCACAGGGCCAGCCAAATTCCCGCCGTTAGGTCACATGGTCTGCGTGACAAGAAACTTTTCCACAATGCGAACCGCCGCGACCGTCACGCACCTTTCCTGCGCTTGTGCCTCTCCCGGGCGGGCAGCATGACGTAGACGCGGTAGGCGTTCTCCCCCTTCTTCTTGCTCTTGTCGCGCAGCTCCTTCACATCCGGCAGCGAGTTCAGGGCACAGCGGAAGTTCGTCTTCCACGACTTGGGGTCTCCCTCCCGGTCGGGCCGGTGCTTCCCTACAGAGCGACCCGGGTGGGCATCGCCAAGTTGGGCAGATAAATGTAACGCTTAAAAAGTTATTTTTGTGGTGGGAGGGGGGTTGCTTTTTTTTTACATTCAAATGAAAAAAATACCAATTGAAAATTTTGTTTGAAAAACGAACTCTGAAAAGTCGGCACATGCAACATTCGACTCGCCGGGGCCACTTTGCGAGCTCAGACGGCTGGTTGGAGGTCTCGCACACCCACCTGTGTGGACGGCCCAGTTCTTAAACAAGCACGCGTCACGGTTCACATCAAAGCCCTGGTGCGCCGCGTGCTTCCAGGGAATCTGGAAAATCTTCTGCTCCTTAAGGAGACAAAATACATCGCAAGCAGGTCTTAATAAATGCCCGTCCAAGCAGGAAGTGTTTAAGTTAGTCGATGCACTTTGTGTCGTGTCCTTATCCGTGCAACATTCAATATACAACAATAAGGTCACTCTTGAACACACAATGTCTGAGAGCTTTCGTCTCTGTGTGTGGTCTGCTCCATTTACTAGATGTGTCGAGTTAAGTCTTGCTTTTGATTTATAAATAGCTTGTGTAATGAAATTATTCCCTGCCACCATCCCTATTGCTACACAACCATTCCTCCCTCCAGCTCTCTTTAATCCCCTTCCTCTATTTACTCCATGTATACTTTGAAGTCATTTAAAATACATTTTCCGTTTTAACTAAGCAATGATAAGAGTCCCACAATGGTGATACGGAGAGGTCACTGGCACTCCACCTAAAAGCACATAGCTCTGTCCCTCCAATACAATTATCTGATTATGCATATATACTGCAACGTGACAATATACCTCCACATTTTCACGTGACAAACACGACGAGCCAGATTTACAAAAATGGCTGAAACATCACCTTAGATATTTCCACCACTGTTGGTATTTAGGGCAATGGAAAACGTTTGTCAAAAATATGATCAAGACTGACATTCGTTAAAAATGTAAACCTGGCCGAATAAACACATTTTATTTCATCAGAGTTGCTGAACACAGGGCGAAAGACCCAAACCACCAAAGGGACCAACAACAATCAGCACTATTAAAGAGGGGTCGTACATTCCTTTAGTTGAGCAAGGTTATAAGAACTTGGGGAACAATTAGAAGATGGCGGGAGGAAATGTCAGGTGCACGTGCCGCCACCGGTGGGGGGGGGGGTGTGCATGAAGTGTAATTTGGCCCCAAAACGGGATCGCGGCGTCTCAGCTGGCAGTACCTTGTTGATCCATCGCAGGCCGGGGATGGCCTGTGAGTTGATCTGCTCCTCCAGCCACGGCCGCATGCGCATGCGTTCCACGGGCATGGCGCGCCCACCTCAACCCCCAGGCGGCCCTTCCAGGCCCAGTGCGTGTGCGCGAGCCCTGCGCCGATTCCCGTGAGCAAACCCCCAGAAGGGGCTGGGGTGGGGGTAGGCCGGAGACACGAGCTTCCCCGCCGCCGCCGCCGCAGCAGCAGCAGCTGACGGGACGCGGCGGCCTTTGCCCGCCGGCCCAGCGGCCTAAATCGCCCGCCCGCTCACCGACGACTCGCCCGCCGTTTTTCAGCGCCTGTCGATGTGGCTCCGGATCGCGCCTCGCCTCGCCTGCGGGGGACAGCGTGGCAGTAACTCAGGTCAGAGCTCTGTTATGGTGGCCCGTCGGGTCGCTATACCAGAATGTTGATGACTAATTTATTGCAACATGTCATAAAAGGCACACCGAGGGCAATTGAGGTTTCACAGTGAGGCTGGGGTAAAAATGTTGGAAACCGGCACGCCTTTCCTAATCTGATTGTCAACAAGTATCAGTTAAATATTTTTACGGTAAATAGTTTTTTTTTTCTAAACACGCTGCTGATGAGGGAACAGACAGACTGAATATACACGCTCAACATGAAAACAACTCTGAATATAATTAACATTTATATTTTGCCACATCATTTATGCATCAACTAATCAATCACGATTACCTTCTTGCATTACACTGAACTACTTCTTGCATTACACTTAACTATATTTTAACCCTCGTTAAATTCGGAGCAAAAACATGCAAACATTACACAATATGGTACAGTTTACACAGCAATCAACCAAGGAAAACTTTGCCCCGAACTAAACTTGAAAGCTGTGCCAGCGAGCACAAAGTGCAACTAACTCTACGAGAGAGATGGCTGCAAAAGACTTAATCCGCAGAGAGAGCGGTCACATGGCCGAGCGCTCACGCGCATGCTTGCCGCAAAAGGTTCGACCCCAATGGGCCGACCTGGTTAAAACTGCAGGGGTATTAAAAGACAAAATAAATGTCGCCTGCTTCACGGTCGTCGTTAAAGATGCCGTGCCGTAATTCTCTAAGGAGTTGGGGGCAAGTGTGCCAGCATCTTGGTCCAAATTTGAAAAAAAGCCTCAAAAATTATATTGGGGAATATTAGATATTAGGTACGGCAAGTCCTCGCTTTTACGCTTTTTCACACAACGCGTTTTCGCTGTAGCATTGCTCTCCTATTAGGGGACACTCTTAGTAAAAGCGTGGAACGTGCCCGTTGTAACGCGGTTTGAGCGGTCGATGGCGAACTACAGTACTGTACTTTCTGGAGCTGCGCGGCAAAGTATTATCTGTATTTGGATTAGTGTGCTGATCTTAAAGGTGCATTGAAACATTTGATACTCCGACTGATGCTCCTGCTGTTGTGGAGTGACTCATGCAGCCAGCCATGGCTGCAGGGTTTGGTGGTAGATGCTGTTTATGTCGTTTGTTGTGAAAATTCGGTCACAGTTCCTATGATCACTGTTACATTGCTTTTATGGCTTTATTTTGGCGATTTAGAAAATGTTTATTGGTTTGGCCATGTTTGTTTGTTGTAGTACGGACTTAGACTGATGGCCTAAATCTAAGTTGTCTTGTGGTTGTTGTTGTTGTTGTTTGACTTGCATTCCACTGGGATTTTTGCACACAGCGTTGGTGTACGGTGCTTTTTCTGGAATATTTTGCCGTTTTTTCCTGGATTTTCTGTTTGCACATTCACACAGTCACTTTAAGATGTTTTCTTGTTCATGTTTTTGTTTGTTGCGGTTGCACCCGATTCAAGAGCCGAATGGCTCACAGGGCTATACCAAATAAATGAAACTGAAACTGAGCGGTATGGTAATTTAGCGTATATGCGTGGGATGACACAGGACTGAATTTGGTGGCATACCCTCATATCAGTTCTTTGTCCTGCCATCTTAGTGCTGTGTGTGTACATCGCATCTCGCAATCCCCACCTTTTACACCATTCCTTTTGGGGACATTGTTTTCGCTTAGAAGCTTAACGCGGCACTTTCCAGGAACGCATTTACCACGTTAAATGAGGAACGACTGTAATTTACTCACAAAGTCATTTGAGCAAAACCCCATAGCAACATTGCGTCGCTACAGTCGTCCGTGAAACATAGCGCTTCTGTGATATTCCTACACTGTAAGAATAGCGCAAATACCAAATATACTAAATGACTATTAAAACGTGCATTGAGAACACTGTAAAAAAACACACACAATGGGACACATTTTTCATGATAATTGACCAATGCGGGTATTCTTCGGTGTTAATAAACTGTTTTCCAACAGTTAATGTTCTGCACTCCGAATGACGCTTAGTCATTGCCCTTATTGGAGGCATAAATTAATCCACCCACACGTTACTTTGGTTGTTTTTGTGAAACAAACACAATGAGGTAAAAGCCTTTCACCCTTCCTTAAAAGGTCATGGCCAGATTTAGCCATGATGTGCCAGCGTAAAAGGAAGCCGACTCACAGGGTCTGAAACCTAGCCACTATCGAGTGTAAAGGAGATACAATAAATGAACGTGCAGGACAGTGAATAAAATAAACATTTGACCAGATACATACCAGAGAATAGCTGCTTAACTGGTTGACTGTGCTGTTGCTATCAGCTTGTCCGAAATACTTCAAACAAACGTTCAACACCTCAATCGCACCCGAATGTACACATAAAATGCTCTGCATCAGAGCAGTGTGCGTGTGTGTGTGCAATGTGCACCACGTTACTATAGATATGCCACAACATGGGGATTCAAAGAAAACCTAACATATAAAAGGCCCTTACTCTTTCGTTCTATTCGGTAAAGTCACTTAAAAGTATAAAACAACAAAAAACAAAATAAAATAAAAATTTATTATACTTTTACGTGACTTTACCGAATAGAACCAAAGAGTATGGATCCTTGCAGTCACGAAAGCTTAAAATCTAGAATATAAAGGCCCTCCCAAATACTACCCCATTATTCATGGGAGCATGGGCAAACATTCATAAAATATAATCACAGGCACTTCTTACCTCACATAATACAATGGAGGTTGGCAACGTTTCCATAAAGATAACCTGTGGCCCAGACAGAATCGAGGTCAGTATTCTTCACTTTCGCCGATAAGACGTCAGCAGTGCGAGGGCCGTCACACTTCTGAAACCATTTGGGGTTTGATAACACGATGATGGCAGAGGTATTTTCACATTTGTATATTGTCGGTGACCGCCTGTCAGGGGCCACACTAAAGGCAACCAGGGGCCGACAGTGGCTCGTGGGGCCTTGCAATGAAGACCATTGATCTAAGTGATATCAGCACCGTGGTTCCCATGACAAATAGGGCTTTGTGTGGGAAATAAACCACCACGTAACTTTTCACATTATTATGCGGACGTCCATGAACTCTGCTTTAACCACAACACGAACAAAGCTAAATAATAAATGGTTCAAGTTACACGCAGGTGTATAGAACCCGGATGCCCCATCACCAAAGAGCACGCACTGGATAAAGTTCTCGGTTGTGTTTTCTGCTTGCACCGCCGTGTGTTGCTTGCAATGTGCGCAAGGGATAATCCTTGGTAACGGAGTTCAGTTCCCGAAGAAACTCACCGTGCACGTGGGACAAAACATTGGATGTAATGTCGAACAATACGCCCGCGGTACAAATGTAAAGCACACTGGCGAGCTGTACGGCACAGCAGCAAAGACGTACGCAGAAGTACCACATGCTGGGTTCTCACCACCAGACGATGTGAAGACGTTTCCCATTCAGTGTCGGTTGTGTGTTAAACAGTGTGATGCTGAGAATAAGCCACACACAAATGGTATGTGTGTTGAACTTCTTTCCCACCATACGTAGCCAGCCAACCGTGCTAATCGGAGCGACGCATTTGTTAAGCACATTTTTTTTTACAGGAATATACCAGATAAAAAAAAGGTTCGTGACAGAGGTGGGTGTCAGAATACAAAGGTGCGTACACAATAAAACGGCATGTTAAGCATGCTTCCTCAGCAACTTCGATGTGTACATGTACAGTCCTCTTGTCAATCCACTGCTGGGACAGGCCCTCCACATGCCACAACAATAATTTATATTTGTAAGGCGCACTTCATCCGTAGATCCCAATGTGCCTTGTGGTTCTTGAGGGTTATTTAGCCATACGCTACCATGCTCATCGACGTGTATTTATGAAAGTGGACTAAGACTTTAGGGGTATATAAATACACTGACAGAGTAACCCCACAGCAGCCTACAACACCTGCTCATATGACCTCACTCGTTCTCTTCTTTTTAAGACACATTGGAATAAGCCGCAAATAGTCTAACTTTCACTTTATTCTCCATTGCAGCTTCCAGTTTGGGTTAATATTCCATAAAATTACCAGTTTTATTTTATTTCACATAAGGTTCTATCAACAAATATGTACATTACTGTAATGCTACATCTTATACAATTATTGTGAAATGTTTCCTTAATATGTTTATATAATACCTTCAAAAGAATAAAACTTCACATTGTGCCATCAATATATTGTACTACTGTTACAGTACTCATTCTACGTAACATTTCGCTTTAAACTGCTTGTAATGAAACAATAATATATCGAAGGTTAAATTGCTATTGATGACCATCTCTTAATTTGCATTTCCATGTGCGAAATAATAATAATTGTGCAGCCTTTCTTGATCCAATACTGTAAGACCTCCCCCTACCATGTCACATGGGTTGTTTGACCATACTTCACCACACTGGTCAGTGCAGGTTGGTGAAGGATGGGACTAGTTCAAATATCACTCACCACTGATGTTATCCGTGACCGAAATGTGCATTCAGATTGCTGGGTTTGCATCGCAATTCACTAACCACGGTGCCAACTGCTTTCGCCCCCTGCATTTCGTATTCCTAGCAACAACAACAAAAATACCCACGGAAAAAAAAACGTTATCCCAACCATTCAACAGAGAGCCATTGGGGATGTCTGTACGCAAGGGGACACTTTTAAAATGAAATAAGATTGCTGCCCCACAGCCCCGAAGAGAAAGCGAAACAAAAATAGAAAATGAAACGAATAATTGCAGTAAACCTCATTCAACCCCCTTTTGTTTTGGTATCGCACACTGTGGGTTATCCCCCCCCCCTCCTCCAATGCATGCAGGACCATGAAGATAGGCGGCGTTTTGCTGCCAAAAATGTGGCCACGACGACCGAGGTCAACAGGAACAACCTTGTTTTAAAAGTACTGCGCAGGCTGCCATTGGTATATAATGTCTAAGCTGTGCCCCGTGGTATAACAAAAACATT